GTTCTTTCAGCCTCAATAAATAGGACTTTTACTGGTGGCTTGTTTTAGGAGAAATTCATAAGAAATAACAAGTACAGAACAATTCAGAAACTGAATTTCATTAAGTAAATAGGAACTTACAAAGCAATGACCCAACCTTGAAAATGTTTATAGCAACGACCACTTGAAACTACTCCTAGGAAATAAAGTGTGGTACAAGAATTGAAGTGTTGAAATGTAAAGAACAAGAAATGTAAAACTGGAAAGAAATATGAAGTAAATGAACTAATTTCTGGGTCTAAGTCTGAGTCTGGGTCATTCATTCTGGGGCCTTCTTCTCTATTTATACTTCCCAATGGCAACCGTCGAAATGAGCTTCCACGATCTCTGGTTATGGCCCTGAACAATTTGCTCCCATGACACTTTCTTTGCAGTTGGGCTTCCCTCTTGAATTTGAATTTGAATTTGAATTGTGAGTAACCGTTGAGTCACGTCACTTCGCGCCTTCTAACTACTTCCATGCAACATAGACCCACCATTACCAATATGAACTGCCACGTGTCTGTTGCTGGTTGGAGATTTGCATTAACTCCCCAAATTACCATTTTCGAGCCACGTGTTAAGCTGCGATTGGCCTGTAAAAAATATGTAGCCAACAATATTGTTTTTCAGAATATTTTAAGGCTGAAATATGTGATTTAAGGTTACAAAAAAAGTGGAGGGGCTAGCCACCCTTCCTTAGGCTTGCTTGCTAGATGTAACCTCTTGGTCTTCTTCCATTTTTGCTCATATTTTTTACCTCTTAAAACTGATTTTCGGCACTGTTCTGTGTTGTTTGTAGGCAGTTTAATGTGTTAATTTATGCTTTGAATACTATAGTTGTGTTGTTGTAAGTCCTCATGGATTTGGTGCGTTTAGGATATAGTAACCAATTTGTTTGAGTTGATCGTTTTACTTTGGTTTTCATAGCTTTACATGGTATATTTGGACCCTTGTGATCATGGGAAGGGTTTAAAGCTTAACCACCCCAACACAAGTTTAATTAACTAGTTGTTTATCTTGCTTATCATTGTGTGTTATCTTCTTCAAAAGATGTTCTATGCTCTCTTCTATTTCCATCTTTGAAGAATGAAAATGGATGTTTCATCCTTATTCCATGAGTAGGAAGATGATCCTACAACAACTTTTCATAGCTTTCATTTACTTAGTCTTGTTTTGGTTTTGTTTTGAGGCTATATAAGAGCTCTTGCATCGGAGGTATTAGAAACTCTCTTCTAGTTCCTTTTGAAGCATGGAAATGGATTTTAATCCATGTTCCATGAGTAGGAAGAAGAATCTCTAATTACTTCCCTCAATGATGTAATCTTTTGTTAATAAGCTTCTCTTTCAAACATGGCTAACCTCTTCTCTCCAAGTTTGAGTACTCACTTACTCTTATTTTTCATGAGATATAGTAGGTTTCGGCCGTCTCTTTAAATGATTTCTTAATTAGCTTTAGTTTTGTATCCATTGAATATTTCGTCTCATTGCTTCATGACTCATCATCTAAATACCCTTGGAATGTTTGATGAGTTGTAAAGAAAACCTATTCCATCCTTGAAAATCTTCATGACAAGAGGGAGCAAGAAGCATGAACATCTTTTGGAATCCCTCTGTTTCGCTATGTTCAAGTTCTGTTGTAACAGATTTTTCTCTAGAAATAGTGGTCGATCGACATTCTTTTGTAGGGACGACCATCTAATCAAGCTAGCCGTCCAATTCTTTTGTACGGCAGTGGTGGTTTTTTAGCAAATCAGAGTAGATCTTGTGGCCAAAACAGAACTGTTTTTGGATTGCGAACTGGGCAATTTCTTGCAGCAAGTAGAGAGGTTTCCGAAGGATGTTCTTGCTTGTGCACACGTGATTCCTTACCGCTCATTCAATTCCTTGGATTAGTCGCTTTTAAGATTTGTGTTTTGTAATAATTAGATAATTAGTTCATTCATTTGTGTTTGTAATAATTAGTTAATTAGGACACTCGGACCCTCTTGTGCGAGAGCAAATTTGTAACATTTGATGTATGTCTTTCAACCCCCATTTCTTTCTCCTTTTTATTTACATGCTTACTATGGTTGCATATAGCATCATATTTCCTTTTATTATTCCCATGCTTTATATCCATTTTTGCATACATTAAGGTTCGACTTATCACACTTGATGTCATTACTTATATCCTAATTGATTGTGCGTGCTACCTCATGCTTTGAGTTGATTCACATATCATGTTAGTAGCCGATTCTAATAATTGCATTCTTGTATGTGATGCATTAGCCACTTTGCATACTAGGATCATGCATTTTTCTAACTATCTTCCTTTATTTGGTTTGCCTCATTTGAGTACTACGTGAGCATTTTTTGCTATAGCATATCATATGTGTGTTTGTATTGCCATGTCGAGCGTACTACCATGAGACTACTTGCTTATTTGAAATATCTTCATGAATGACTATGGATGGAGGCTATTTTGCTTAATTGGAATGACTTTGATTAATGTACATATGAGCTCGCTTTTTCTTTGAGTTACATGTATTCAAAACTCTTTTCAAAAAAAGTATGAAATCAAAGCAAATCCAAAGTAAGTGGCGTGGTCGATACTTGTTTGCTTCACATAGTAATGTTAGTATATTAAATAATCAAAACATGAGCATATAATGTCCATAAAATTCACATCATGATTTAGTAGATGCTAATCTTTGATCGAGTGAATGGAGTGCTCAATTCATGACATTCTCCTCTCATACATAAGTTCCCAAACCGATACAATTTGATTATGATGGGCAAATGACCTTTGGCACAAGTTACAAGTTTTCTAAATTTCTCAAAAATATTTAGGTGGCGACTTTGAAATCTGACAATGGAGTCTTTTTTTGGCATCTTTGATGATTAATGGATTTTCTAAGATTTATCGGATTTAAACTCTCATTCATTTTTCTATTTCACATTGCACTTGTAAAGCCAAACTCAAAACCAACAAGAGTCTTAATTGTAATGCAATCGCATCTGAGTAGACTAAATATCTCCGAAGAGCGCGAAAAACTAACTACAAAGCCCTCGCTAGAAAGCAAAGTTAATGAGAGATTCCATCATTTTCACTCACTCCTCTCACCAAACCGATTTATACTCTATCTTAAATATATATATATATATATATATATATGAATGGCCCTATTAATAGGGGCTCACTTATTATGTCATATGCCCATAGGATTCTCTCTCCATTATTTTGGTTGTGAAAGAGACTCTTTTGTCATATACTTTGGATAATAGTAATAATAATACCAACAGATTGTGGTTTTTAATTGGGATATGACTCGTTAGGTTAAAGGATTAGGTTTGATAATGTTTAACAATTTGACCTGCTAATGGAGGTGTTTGGAAGGATAGAATTTTCATGTTGGTTGGCTCAAAATTATATATAAAGTATACATATACATAACTAAATTATAGAAAATCTCAAAAATATATATATCAGCATGATACGACTCACTCAAAATATCTTTATTGACAGTGTTTAAATTGGATTCATTAGAAAGAAAAAGGAATGAAACCCTTTAAAAGTTTCTAACTTTACTATGATGTTGTCAATGAATTATGATTTTAAATTATGAGTTTCTAATATTCCTTTACAAAAGCTTTATTTTGTTACTACGCATATTTTTAATATTATCTCCGAATTTAATTTTATCCATATAAACTTGTATTTAATGTAGAGCAAATTGACAAGGTATTGACGAAAGTCCGGACAATTGCAAATTTGTGAAAAGAATTCAAAACAATTATAAAAATATAGAGTTGTAACTTGTAAATGGTTCTATGTAATGATGCAAATGAAAATTTGGACCTTAATTGCACCAAAGCACACACTTGTATGTATAGTCCTATTTTTGTAATTAATTTTAAAAAATTCACTAATTTGCAATAATTATTAACAAAAGTAGCCAAAATTACAAAATTTAAGAACACCTAATTTGATTGGTCCAAAAGCGTAGGTCCTCCAATCAAAAAGTGTATTAATTCTATCTAAAATTGTAAATTTTATTATTTTAAAACAACTAAAATTTATGTTTTATGTGTATTTTTTGATAATGTGTAAACAAAATAAGAGTCAATTGCGGGACAGGGTTTACTTGTCTACTTGAGCAAATGTTGAGGATAATTTCAAGGAGAAGAATAGGTGGAAGGAATAGAAACCTTACAATATTCTCACAAAGGATAAGTCCAGATCTTGTCTGATGAATTATGCAATATAAAAAAACACTGTTGCTTCACAATTGAGACATTGACTAATGATTTCTTCAAGCCATGTTTGTTTTACACACCCTGGAAATGCTAGTGTCTCATTTTATATTCCACAATGATTCCTAATAGATAATACTCATGACTCATGAGCCTAACAGGTCTTTTATTGCCTTTTTTTCAATTTTTATTTTTCTATTTTTCACTTTTAGAGCTTTTTTAGCATGAATTTTCTACATTTTTTTTTAGTTTTTTGTACTAAGCCAAAACTAAAAATAAATCAAAAAGTAGTCTAAAAATTCAAAAAACCTATTCGAAAATCAACCCTAAATATCAAAATTTATGGGAAAGTGTAGAGACATTTTTCTCGTACAAAAATCTCATAATTTTTTTTTCGTCTAGCCAAATCTTGAAAAATTCTCTGCAACTTTTTTTCCTGATGGAAAAATTGGAATTGCAAGAATATGTGAAAAAAAAAAGATTATGGGAGAGAAATGGATCAATTCCCACCTATAAATTGGATCTAAAATTTTTGAAGAAAAAAAAAATGTGAATGAAATGTTAGTTAATTTTTTTTTCTCAATTTCTCTCATATTTTCTTATCTTTTCACAAATTCCTACCCAAATCCTAAATCCAAACACATCCTAATTTGAACAAAAATATTTTGAAGAGACCTAAAACTTCAAGCAACTAGGCAGTTCTAATGCTGGAATCAAATAAAAGAAATTAGCAATGCTCAAAGAAATTTATAACAACATAAGGTTGCTATAGCTCAGTTAAATTGGTTATTTTCCGTTAATCATAGAAAATGTTTTTCGTTAACTTTCTTTCTATCATATCAAACATTACACTATATGAAAAACATTTTCTGCCGAAACATATGGAACGCTCCTCTCCATGTTCTTTATCCCAAAACAAATAAACAACAGAAGGATAGGGAAACTAATCCTGCAAAATTTCACAGCCTCTCTATTGCCTCTCCTTCTTTATGTATGCTGTATTATTTTCATTATTATCTGCAAAATTTCATGATCTATCCATCTTCTTTAGCAGATTTGTGAACTCGACTTCTCCAGCTATAGTTCTCTGATCGCTCATCACCTTCTTCCTCCATGCTATCCCCGCCTGTAGTGGAAGTCCCTCCACTTGTCCCACCTAACTGAAGAGGACCTTGAGGAGATTCAGATTGTGAACTACTTTGCTTTGATGATTCGTCATACTGATCTTGGGACGTCCATAAATCTCCCAAAATGACCGGAGATTGATTTGCAGGACTGGTTGTTGTACCCGGAAATCGCCTTGTATGAAGTCGGTATTTCTGAAATCACAAAGAACATTCAAAATCATGTTCAGAATCAAATTCAATACTTTAAAAAAAAAAAGAAAAAGAAAGAATGAATTTTGCCATACGCACTTGCAAATGACTCTTCACTTCATCGTTGGTGAGTCCATCGACCTGCATGAGTTCTCTAATCTGCTTAGGAGTGGCCACTGCAGAGGTTTAGAAAGATAAAATCAGCTGCACATAGATAGAAGTGATGATTCTAAAGATGATTTTCAAGGTGCTAAAACAAACATCAGTTACAAATGCAGCTGAGACAAGAGTTCACTACTGTTTTAAAGTTTTAGGCTAGCAGATTAATTAGGCCTTCAAACATTTTCCATGTCATTCCCTCTTTTAACCCATTTTGTATCAAGATCATATGGAATTGAACCAACAACGGCTAGCCTAGTTGGTCAGAACCCAAGTCAATTTTGTCGCAAGCAAGACTCTCCCTTCACAGGCTATGGCTACCAATGCACCAAAAAGAAAAAAAGAAAAAAAAAAAAGATCATATGGTATTGAATGCTTAAATTCTTCTACATAAATCCACTTTGGCAAATAAAAGTAATAAGAAAAGATTACTTGAGAAAAAAAAAGGATAAGGGGAAGGGAGCGTGACTAAAGCCCCTACCTACTGGGGAGTCGGACGGGAGAGGCCTAGAGGGGGCCGGCAAAGCTCTCTCAAGATGGACTTAAGCAATAACTTGACCCTACCACTCCTGGTCCTAGAGCGGAAGCCAGGATCAGAGATAGATGGGAACTGCGTTGCCCTTGTGGAAACTTAAACCCAAAGCCACTTGCTTGCCAAACTCCCATCCTCTAAGCTTAATTAGAAAGAACATTAAGAAATGTGGTTTTTTTCTTTTTTCTTTTCATTTTATTTTATTTTATTTTTTTATTTTCCCTGTGGATTAACATTGAAGAACAAAAACACCAACATAAATATGACTTCTGGGAAAAGGAAAAATGAAAAGGAAAATTCTAATATAACATGACAGGTGTAGAACTAACTCATTAATCACAAAGCATAAGTGACCAGAGAAAATTGCAAACCAAAAAGCAAAAGAAAGGAAAACCCAAAATTGGGAGACAAGATCAAGACTCCTCGTCAACATAATAAAGTCACAAGAGATAATCACAAGTCAAGAATTAAGAAATGTTTAGTTAATTTTTGGTTGAGTTTTCACAATCTGTTTTCTGACCTTGTGAACCCCCAAGTTGTTGCAAGGCACCGACAAACCTCCGATGCAAGTCCGGCGACCAGCATCGTCTCTGTTTCCGGCCAGTCTGCTGGTGCGGCGGCTGTGGTCCACCGCGTAAATTTGATTGACCGTTAGGGGCAGAAGTGGAAACTTTTCTGCTACAACTTGTTCTACAATTCAAACCAATAGAACCAACTTCTTCTCTTGGATTCTTAATTCCAGGCATCAGAAGGGAAAGCCCAGCGGCCGGTGATTCAGCCTCCTCCTCCTTCCTCGTCTCCATTGCCGGAAAAAAAGAGCAACCCTTAAATGGCATAAATGACCTCAACCCAGTGCTGTTTTTACCATCACAACACTTTTTCTCAGCTTCCTATCATCAAAACAAAGGCTATAAATATATATATACATATACACATATATAAACGTGAATGAAAATTTAACCAATTTACGATTCTGTTATACCTTTGAATTCTGTTTCAAATCATAGTTTGAATCCATATTTCTGTTATTATCATCGGTGCTCCAGAGCTGCACAGAGCTCATCCAATTCATCTTATCTCTGCTGTCCTTTTCCTTCTTCGGTTCCATTTTTTCATCTTGATCATCACAATTGTTCTTCAATGGTATGAATTCTTCAAGTACTGGTTCAATATTTCTTGTCCTAAACTGCATTGATTCCGCCTTCAAAGTTACAATCGCTGCAACAACAACAAATATGAAAACAGATTAACCGAAACCCATCTACAGAAATGAATTTTCTGACCAAACAAACAGGATTTCATGGAAAAAAACAAAACCCATACAATAAAAATCAAAGCCCATCTCATCCAAGAATTGAATTGAATCAAATCTATACATAGATGCACTAAATTATATAGATATATATATATATATAAGTGAGCAGTGATCAAAATGTTGCTCAGATCGAAATTATTAGCCCCCAAAAAAGGAAAAACCAAACGAACCATCATTGAGAAGAAGCATGCAAAGAGGAAGCTCGCGTTTGAAGGCGTCGATCTTCGTCATTTCTTCTTCTAATCTCTTCACAAAATCGTCAAGCCTCAACAATCTATCTGAAATGCTACCGATCGTTGTCAGTTCTTCGAGAAAGGAGCTGATTGTTTTGGGAATATGATTTGATTTGAGTTCCGGAGGAATTGAACCCATCTTCGATCGTACCCTTTACCTCTCTCTCAGATCTTACTTTGATTATTATCAATAGCAAGAGACTCTGAGAAAGAAAGATGTATACATATATATATACGGAGAGAGAGAGAAACCGGAATCTATAGAGAGAGAAAAGGGGTTCTTTGTAAGGGGAGAGAGAGAGAGATACATATATATATACGGAGAGAGAGAGAAACCGGAATCTATAGAGAGAGAAAAGGGGTTCTTTGTAAGGGGGGGGAGAGAGAGAGAGAGAGAGAGAGAGAGAGATTCTGTTTAGCAACGCCGGGTTTGGACAGGGAGATAACATAAATGCAAATTGAAAAGTCACTTTCGCGTCGTCGCGTATTCAAGCTATCTGCCACTCATCTCTCTCTCTGTACACCGTAAAAAAATAATAATAATAATAATTAAAAAAATTATAAAAAAAAAAATTTAAATAATGATAAATCTAATCTAAAAAGTGGACAAAATAATAGGTTCAATGAATATTTTTTTATTAGTAAAATTTGTGAAATAGTTTAGTGAAAAATTATTTTGTTATTTTGGGATGATATTTTAATTCTAATTTTATCCCTCACTATTTGTTTAAATTCATATTTATTTGTTCAAATTTTTTGATTATTTGTTCAATTTTTTCTTTTATCTGTTAAAATATCTGTCCAAATAATTTTCAATCTGTATAATTTTTTTGACTATCTGTTCAAATATTTCCCTATATGTCAAATTTATATATTTTTTTTATCTATCTGTTGAATTTTTTCCTTTTTTTTCTTATTAGTTCAACAAAAGCAGTCACAATCTTCAATTTTTTTTATTTGTTAAAACAATGATTTGTTTAAATTTGGGGTATTTTTTTTAAGGTCCCTGATATTATGATTTTATAGTATAAAGGACATCAACTATTTTCATGATGTCTAAGGTCCCTCAACACACTAAATTTGAAGCTCTAAAAACACCACTAATGAGGTGGCAATGTAAAGAAAAAAAAAATAAAACAAAACAAAGGCCAAACTATCACATCAGTGGTAGGGTCCACATGATGCCACATCATTAGTGGTGCATTAGTGGTGCTAAATTAGTGGTATGAAGCATTTTTCTAAATAATTATCTGTTGAACTTATCTGTGTGAAATTCTTGTTAGAACGAGAGACCCATTTTAACATATCGATTCAAAAATCACTAAAACACACAAATCTAAAAGCAAAATCACAGATTTGTTGTCAACACCACTGAAAACATATATCTCAAAACAAAATCAAAGATTTGTTGCCAACAGATCTAGATTGAAAATTTTCAAACCCAAAGAACCAAACAAAACAAAACAAAAAACCCAAATCTCCATTCAAGGTACCAACTAGTTCTTCACAAGATGCAATTACACGACAAAATATAGATCTAAAGAAAATAAATCTGTGTGTTTCAGCTCCTCTTGCCAAAAAAAAAATAAATAAATAAAAATATTAAAAAACAAAACAAAAAACAACCTTAGCTTCTCATATTAGTTGTTGAATTAGAAAACAACAAATCAAACAAAAACTTTACACAATTGAAGTAAAATTGTACTTGAAAGCTTCGATGAATTGAAAATGAACAAAAAATTATAGTACTTGTAAAAATCAAACCAACAAGATCAAATTTTTGAATTTTCTGTGTTGTTGCTTCCTTGAGTTTTCAAACTTCAACCACAAGATCGAAACATACGCAGGGGAGACGTACTTAAACCGTTAGATCTTAGGCGTCAGAATACTGGCGATCTACCTGAACCGTTGATTTCCATTCTCCGATGACTTGCCACTCATGAGATGAAAAAGATAGAAGAGAGAGAGAGGGAGAGAGAGAGAGAGAGAAGAAAGCATATTTGTTTCATTTAGGGTTTCGACCTAGGGTTTCAAGTCATATTGGTTCTACTTACCGAGATGGAACATCTGAGTTTCGATCTCTGTTTGATACAATGGCTAAGGTTTCGAGAGAGAAAAGAGACAAAAGAAGAAGATTGATGGTGTGAGAAAGAGAGAGAACGTAGGGCGGTGATAAGGCCGAAAATGCTTTGTTTAGATCAGAAGTGATGGCAGAACGGCAGTGGATGAGGTGTAGCGATTCAGATCACAATGCGAGGTGACAGAGACAGTAGTAGTGGTAAAATAATAGAGGATAAGGGGAAATGGTGGTGAAAGATAGAGGGTGAAATGAGTTGCAGAGAGAGAGAGAGGAGAGGGGAGAATTGTTTGGTTAGGGTTCAATTTGGAAAACAATATATATATATATACACATACGTAATTTGGTCATTTTATAGGAGTTTGTTCTTATGGACAAAATATTTTAGCATCGGGACCTTTGAGAAAAACAAATCTAAAATTAGATTTATCGCCCGCGCACCAAAAAAATAAAAATAAAATAAAATAAAAATAAATTGATCTAACACGGCCACTTTTCTAAAATGTCTAAACTACCCCTCAACATACTCTTTTTTCTTTTTCTTTTTTTCTTTTTTCAAAAACTTACCATGCGGTGCAATTATTTATTAAATGGTAAGAACCTTACACTATGTTTTGGTAGCTTGAGAAAAAAAAAATGATTAAGTTATGAGAGAAAATAAAAGAAAAAAATAGTGATTTCTAACATTTTGTTTCGATAGATAGGAGAGAAAAGAAAAGAAAAGAAATTATATTAAAATGGTACTCTTTGGTATTATAACATTATATTACAAAATTAATTTTCTTTTAAGCTATATAAAAGAAAAGAAAGAATGATATAATATTATATTACCAAATTAATCTTTTATAGGTGTTAGTCTTTTTATTTGTTCTATATCTAAAATGGTAGTTTTGGTATTATAACAAAATAATATTTAGTTAGTTTCATTTCTATCCCAAGCTCTCCATTTTTAGAGAATTTGAAAAAATGGATTATAAGATAAATGTGTTTATCTCTATTTCTTCTCATTTCTCTCATATTTGATAATACAAACAAGTGATTGAAATCTATTTCTCCATTTCATTTTTTTTCTCTCCGAATCACTCAAACCAAACGAAGTATTAGAGCAATTCATTTTCTGTTGAACAAAATGCCTAGTAAAACTACTCAGAAAAGTATTCTCTATATTTTGCCTAACTAATTTAGCTAATGTGTGCTCCGACAATATTATTTATTTTATCTAACCAATGAAATTAACTTAACTAATTTTTAAAAGAAAAAATATTATAATATATAAATAAAAATAAAATAAAAATAAAATTCTTTTATGATGTGTCACATATGCACTTAGTGTTGAAGTGATTGCTAAAGTGACATTTATAAATATTTATTTTTTTAGAATATATTATTAAATTATTTTTTAAATAATATTTTTACATGATCATATTCTTAATAGAAAGAGATGAAATCAAACTTGATCTTTGAAGGATTGATCGTTAGAAGGATGGAAAATAAATTTGGTAGGGGGAAAACTTTGCTTAACTTCTAACACAAGCTACATGAAAAGAAAAAAATAAAATAAAATTATAAATTGGAAAAATGCTTCAAATGCCCAATTTGCCGCCTCCTCCCTTGAAATTATTCTTACACAGAAACAATAGCACCTCTATGTGTTTGTAATTATTTTTGGTTATGTGCACTTATTTATTATTTCTACTCATTTTTTATTTGTTTATTTATTTATTTATTTATTTATTTTCCTTTTAGCCAAATGATGAATAGTAGATTAGTAAAGAGATTATTTCTTTGAGTCAAACTTAAAATTTCCTTTCATTGGCACCTAAATATCTCCTCATGAGCACTTGAGTACAACTTGAGTCCTCTATGGGCAGTGTACGAACATAAAAATTAAGGGTTCAGCTTTGGTCCAGTCTGGCATCAGACTGGATTGGACGGTATTGTTAGCCCTGTGAGGATTTATTACAGGTCCCATTTTAATATTTCGAATCGTTCAATACGTAAAACTCATCGAGTACTATATACTTGTAAAAAATCACATTGATCGGATATCGATAGCTATGTGATCAAAACAGTTTTTTGTCAACCGTTAATTTGTTCACATCCATTTTTTTAAATACAAAACGGATTTGATCACATAGCTATCGATATCTGATTAACGTGATTTTTTATAAGCATATAGTATTCGACGAGTTCTACATATTAAACAGTTTGAATTATCAAAACGGGATCCATGGTGGGCCCTCATAGGCCCAACAGTACCGTCCAGTCTGATCTCGGACTGGACCAAAGCTGAACTCAACATTGAAAACATAAACATATTGATGAATAGAATTTATAAATTTTGTTGGTGAGACCTATTTTTAGAAAATTTTGTTCATTAATTTATTTCATGTGTTTAATTTATATGTTTTTAAACTCATTATTATTGTACAATAGTCGTAGAACAAATAAGATAAATATAGAATCAAACATAAGCAAATAAATATATATTTTTTCCCCAAAAAAGTGCTCCCCATTAATAAATCTAGTAAATTTCTGTGTTTTATGTGTTGAATTTACTGGCATTGTTGTTTTTCTCCAAATAATAATAGATACATTATTTTTTACTGCATTTTTTAGGAGGTAGAAAATATACGTCCCTCAACATACTGTTAGAGTTGTTAGATATTGAATATATATATATATATATATATTTTCTTCTCGTTTAGGTCCTAGGGTTTGAATTTTAGAAGTATAAGAACACACTTTAATAAATATGGTCAAAAATACTATTATAACCCTGGCAACCCCAAACTTTATCCAGGATTTCTTTCGGTGTGTTGCCTCTCTCTCGCTCTCGCTCTCGCTCTCTCTCTCTCTCTCTTCTCTCCATCGCTAAGCTCTCTTGGCTGACCGTCGCCACAACCACTACCTCTCTAATATGCGTGTGTATGCTTTTTTTTTCTTTTTTCTTTTTCATCACTACCTTCTTCTCTATTTTATATCTTTAGAATCTCTAACCACTCACTCAATATGGTTATGTCACAGTTGCATTGTGCGAGGAGTACCCGTGTGCGCTAAACAATTCAGACCCTCAATTTCTTTGATCTAGTCTCACCAATGCAATGTGAAACATAGATGAAAGTCTAGATTTGTAACGCCCCAAAATAAATACAATAAACCCATCTCATGAGCAGAAATATAATTAAATTTACATACCTTCATTCATCATAGTTGATATACATGAGAG